GATAGTTTACAGAAATTGGTTATAATTGCTGCTGCTAATGTTTCCAAAACTATATTGAAGAGGAGTAGTGATAGATATCCTTGTTTTGTTCCTGATTTTTGTTTGAGGTTTTAAGTTTTTGACCATCAGTGGCAGTATATCCTCTACAATGTCTTGTAGAATTCAGCAGTGAAGCCATCAGGACTTGGGCTTTTCTTAGTCGGTAAGTTTTTAATTACATTTTCAATTTCACTGATTGATATTGGGTTGGTTAGAATTTTTAGGTCATCTTTGCTCAACTTTGGTAATCCATACATAACTAGGTATCTGTCCATTTCTTCTATTTTCCATCTTATTGCATGCAAATTCTCAAAGTAGGTATTGATGATCCTCTGGATTTCTGCTGGGTCTGTTGTAATTTCAGCCTTTTCATTCCTAACTGCATGGATTTGGGCCTTTTCTTTCCTTTTTTTGATAAGGTTGGCTAAGTGTTTGTCAATTTTGTTTATTCTTCCAAAGAACCTAGTCTTGGCTTCATTGTTTGTATCACTGTCTTAGCGCTTATTGCACTGATTTCTGCCCTGATCTTTATAATTTCCTCTCTTATATGAGCTTTGGGTTTATCCTGATCTTTTTCTAGAATATTGAGGTTTAGCATCAGGTTTAATTGAGCTCACTCTGCTTTCCTAATTTGAGTCCTCACTGCTATGAATTTCTCTCATAAGACTGATTTCATTGTGTCCTATAGATTCCAATATGTTGTACTGTTATTGTTACTTAATTGTAGGAACTGTCTGATTTCTTTAATTTCCTGTGTGACCCACTGGTTATTCAGAAGTGCGTTGTTCAATTTCCATGTGCTTATGAAATTCTTGCAGTTTCTTTTGCTATTGATCCCCAATTTCATTTCACTAGGGTCTGATAATACACAGGGGATATTTTAATTTCTTTGCACTTATTTAAACATGTTTTAAGAGCAAATATGTGTCTATTGTGGAAAAAAATCCATGTGCACTGAAAATAGGTATTCTGATTTTGTAGGGTGGAACACTGAACACATGTTAAGTTCATTTGTTTAAGAGTTTGATTGAATTCTAGTATTTTGTTGTTTATTTTTTGTCTAGTTTATCTAACTATTTGTGACATTGGGTGTTGAGGTCCTCCACTACTACTGTATTAGTGCTTGTATGATTTTTATGTCCATTATTATTTGTTTTATATAGTTGGATGCACTAGTGTTTGGTGCATATGTATTTATGATTGTTATCTCTTCCTCTTGGATTGTTCCCTTTACAAGGATGTAGTATCCTTCCTTGTCTCTCTTAATCAGAATATTGTTATCTCTTCCTCTTGGATTGTTCCCTTTACAAGGATGTAGTATCCTTCCTTGTCTCTCTTAATCAGTGTTGGTTTGAAATCCACTTGATCTGCAAAGAGGATGGCTACTTATGAGTTCATCAAATACAAACACAATGGTTTAAATTTTATCCCAAACCTCATAATTGTCAGACTGTAGATTCTTAGCACTTTTTAGATTGAAATTTATCTGGATAAAATCAGATTCTAGGAACTTTGAGAATCATCACTCAGTATACAGGAAAAATTACATAGTTGATTTCTCAAACCTGAAAACATATAGAGCTCTAAACCCATGACTTATAGAAAGAATTGTTTTTTCCTTGCTGGAATAAAGAGCATTGTTAATTTTTATATAATGAATACTCATATTTTCAAATATTTTTCACATTTACAATTTTGTTTTAGTCTCCTAAACCTAACACTGACAATTACAGAAACAAAGCAAAACACAAAAATAAGATTTAATTCAGAAGGAAAATCTGCTGATAATATAGCGGAACCTTTTTTTGTGGTTGCTTTTGTTCAAATTGGACATTGTGACCCAGAAAATTAAAATTATTGTTTTAACATTACTTGAATAAGTTATTTGCCTTTACTATTTTTATTAATTTGGTGACTCTGTCAAATCAGGATGATGAGTTTAGCTTTTCCTTTAATACTGAGGCACAATAATAAATAACTTGTCAAAATATGTTTCATGGTAGAACTATCACATGAATTTGGACTCAGGCCTTCAAAATCACAGCTTTTCTATGTTGAAACAGCACAAATGCAATATGATTTATATCTAACAAGTATTTATCTATAAAATTTGATATGTCTTTTTTACCTTTCTATCCCTATACTTGTTGAAAGAAAGAACAAACAAAATGATGAGTTAACACGTAATCATATATATGTAAGCCCCTCCATTTAGCAACATCTGTATAATGCAAGACCATACGTTGGCATTTTTATTTGTGAAAAGATCCCATTTGTTCATTTGTTATTTATTCAGTAACATTAATTAATCAACAATAAATGCTAGGCATTTTTCTGTTTTGAGAAGTTATACAGAAATGCTAAGTGACCAAGTAAATCAGTGTGAAAGAACTGGGCATGCAGATACTTGTATATATAACATCTACAAAAACAGTATCAAGGAGGGTAGGGACAAGGGGAAAAAATGAGAACCAAGACTTGTCATGTAGAGGTACAAGATCCCAACAATGAATGTAACTGTACTGTATGCCTAAAATGCACCAATAAACTCAATTAAAGCTGAAAAAAACCAGTATCAAATATTGGTGCACACCTGTAATCACAGCACTCTGGGATGCTGAAGCAAGAAGATCATAATTTCCAGCCCTGTTTAGGAAACTTGATGAGAACTTATATCAAAATGAAAAATAAAAACAGAACTGGGAGTATAGCTCCATGTGAAGACTCTGAGTTCAATCTTCAGTACCACAACAAAACAAAAACAAAACCTTATTTGTGATCTCTCTAGAGCCTAACACAATGGCTTGCATAGACTATTCAACAAATAAACATCCATTAATCTGATATTTGCTAGCATATGAGCAATTTTTGAAGAAATTCTGAAGTGAGACGAAAGAATATACATCCTTCTCTCTAAACCCACAACCCCATGCTCACATCCAGAATCTAGAACATTAAAAAATAAGTATGGCCAGGACTACTGCTACTCTGTGGCTTTCAGAGCAGAATGGTTAAAACTGGAGTCATCTTAATCTTTCTCCTATAATAATACTCTGCAGGGATAGGGAACTAGTCTTCTAAGACTACCTTCCATGCTCATGTAGAAAATAAAAGTTGGGGGCCAGGGATCTAGCTCAGTGGTTCTGGTGCCTGCTTTGCAAGCGCAAGGACCCAAGTTCAATCATTGGAACCAAAAAAAAAAAAAAAAAAAAAAAAAAAAAAAAAAAAAAA